ATACAGCTTCTTCGTTCCATAAACGAATGATACAACCATCTAAAGCAACTCCAGATCATATATACGATTTTTTCAAAAAACTTTGAAGGACATCGCCATTTAAACGAAGCTCAAAATGAAGTTTAAAGTCTATAATTAAAGCAATTCAGAAGAAACAGTCAGCCATGAATTCAACTCCTGGAATGTAAAAAATAAGTTTCAATGTACATCAATGAACATAAGTTTCCATGAAATTTAGCGCGCCCATCATTGAAACACTGCACTGACTGACCTTGCCCGGATGGAGTGGCTTCTTGGCGTTTGTGATAGCGTTACATTCAACCAAATCCAATACACCATCCGAGAACATCTCAGTGTGAATACCCAAATCCTTATGATCACCCATAGCAGCCAATGCTGCATCCGGGATAGCACCAATACCTGAAGTAGGAATATACTCGCGATCAACTTAAATAATCAATCAGTTCAATATTTCCAACTCGTAAACCCAATAGTGTGCACTCGTCAGTGTATTCGTCTTCTGATTTGGTGAGTTCGTTTGAGATTGAATGCGATGTTTCGAATGGGACAAATGTGATAAGTGAATACGGAAGGTGACCAAATAATCATTCATAACATCTCTGAGCACATGAAACAGTCGTTTCGACCAAGCATTGCTTAGTGTTGTTCATCGGGGTGCACCTGATGAAATTTCGTCGCCCAAAACGTCAGAATTGCACTCAAGTGACTGAGCACTCACCCATCTGAAGTGTGGCACCATTGTCGACCAAGTTATCGGCGATAATTTTACCAATTTTCATCTCCTCAGGTGAGGCCGGTCCACCCACTGGTCGTTCATGGAGAGGGTGGTCGTTCAGCTCGATCATAACATCGATGTGTGACTGGTGAATTACTGAGTCGCCGAATGTTCGTGGCATGTGCTTGTTGGTCATTGCTGGAACGATGATAGCGATTCAGAAGTACCGAATTGAACGCAATTTCTCGTGTTTAACATACATACCACCAATGATAAGTTTTTTGTTACGGCTTTTGAAATCATCGGTTCAAGCTTCGCCTCAAGTAGATATTTGTACTCAGACCCTATAGGCTGTAGACGATCGAGCATTACTAGCTCATATACTGAAGTCTCTATATTTGACGACATGAATGCTGCTTCATTTGGAACCTATGGAACAGCTGGGAAGCTGATTTTTTAAGGAATCGCTCATCAACCAGTTGTTCAAATTGATAATGAGATATAATCACGAGATAAGTAAGCAACGAACCAATAATGTGGTTGGCTTGCTTTACTGCAGCACATGCCGTGTCAACGCTGGTACCCAATGAACAGAAACCATTCTCGTCTGGAGGAGAAACCTGAACTACTACCTCACTCACGATTTATCATAAGTGCGAGAACCATCATAAAATTGCTATCATAAGGCCAGAAATCCCTCAGTTCCCTGCTATGCAGAAGACCAGCCAACGCAATGAATACTAACGAAACATCAGCACATAAATGAATTGACAGCTAATTGTAAGTATTTCTTAACAATCATCAATGTTGTAAGGACTTAAGCCATTAGAGAGGCTCACATGAATAATCGCAGCGTCAAGTTTAATCGCACCGGTTCGGAAAAGAAGTGGAACTTCGTGGAGGAATGTCGAGTTGAAATCAGCTGTGCCTTAAAACTTATTCATTTATTAAGGTACGGATTCAGAATTCAGTTGAGAGATTGACAAATCCACAGTTCAACTTTGAAAAATCAGCTCAAACGGTGCAAAGCATTAACTGAATTGAACTAACCATCGTTGACTGCCTTACGCAAGTTACCACCAGTGAAGAGGGAGTTCGAACGGATTCTATCTGAAACACCAAAAGCTTATCATCTGTCAGTTTTTATTCTGATCTGATGATTGAACCAAAATACTTTACTGATATTCCCTTTATTGGGCAACTTTCTGACAGCGGAAGTTTTAGATTTCAAGCTTCATGCGATTCATTTGTGTTCCATAAGCACATGGAATGATGACGGGAACTTGTAAATGTTCTGAATTTGGCTGCGAGAGTATCGAAGGATTCTGAAATATTAGAAAACTCTATGAAAAGAAAACACACGTTTCATATCCTCAGCAGTCCATGGCGTTGGTCCTTCCAAATGTAAATGATGCAATTTTATACCCTTAAGATCGTTCGCTTTTGCATAATCGCACAGTCCGAATAACAGCGGCGTAGGGGTTGCCGCAATACCGTGAATGAAAATATTGTCACCTGAACTATGAAAATAAGCAAAAATAAACATCATCACAAACAATCTCATTAATAACTTCATCTAGCATGAAGAATCACTGGTTATTATTCATGACCGAATGTTCTAATCATATTCATAAATGCGAAATATCAATATCAGTTGTGATAATTAGGATGACTGCAGCAAGCGATTGCATTAGTACAATTGAATGGGATCAACTCATATGACTTTCTCAATATTACAAGCACAAGGACTCTGTTCTGCATCAGCATACATCAACTTAATCTCTACGAGCATGACATAACATAGTATTTTATGACCTAAACGGCCCGAAATTAATTTCAGTGACTGATGCAACACCGAATAAACCACTAAAACAAGTGAATTACTACGACTCGTACCTGATCTGATACCGTTGAAGGCATTTTTGATATCGCTGAGTACGGTTTTCTTGCCTTTGATTGGATATCCGCATTCTTGTTCCACTAAACTACCAGGCACAATCCTGAGTAGTGCCGGACTTGTCGAGAAGCAGCGTTTTGCGGGTGCAAGTGCTCGTGAAAGCATGCCTGTGTCCCTCTTCAACAATTATCTCTTACAATTAGTATTCAATGGCAATCGTATATGACGGCGCATAATGTATTGCAATTCGAACGAGTTGAAAATCGCACGTAGAAAGGACACACAATCGTACTCGACCATTACAACCAATAATTTTACGAAATTATTCCCAAACCAATCCATTGCTACTATTTTAAGTTTACGAAGCCTCATTAAAGTCATAAGCAGAAAATTATCGCATGAAATCGCTTCCATTATCAAAATGATCGTTTGAAGTTGTTGGAAGCAGCTCGGCTCAATGAAGCATTTCGTTGAGCTGCTTGCACTTGACTGAATGATTTGTGAAGCTCAAAGCTGTACATCTGGTTTTTTTTAAGAAATCAGTCTGGCTGTTCATTTTAAAGGACTTGCTAACATTTATGAGTGTAAAATGTTTGCTCTCAACCAGAAGCATAAAAATCCTTCACTTGCTCGAATAAATAAGAAAGTTTTAAATTGAGACTTCGGCATAACAATGTTCTGGTATCAATACATTTTCGAGAACAAAAACATGTGAGATGTGAAATTCGATTTTTAGAAAATTTTGTAGTGTGATCATGAAAGCATAACTCAATGAAAGTTGAGTGTGACTATGAACATACAATATAAATCTTGAGCAATGACATAGACTTGAGAATAATTCTGCTCGGATAACAGTGAGTTATCTGCATTCACAGCTGTTCCTGGCTTGCAAGACAAATAAATTTGATGGTTGCTGAAGAGTCTGCTTTCCGTTCACTTTTGCTCTCATTGTCAGACAGTGCTAAATGTTGTTCATCGTATGCAATGAGAACAAATGTAGGACATCCACCGCACCATACAATGTACTCATCGACGAACATCAACAACTTCTTGGTACATAAAATATTTGGTTCCAGCAAGAGTATATCTACTCTCGAATAGTTTTTCGAAGTATTAATGATAAAATCATCAGGAAACACCTAGTAATATAGCATCATAGAAATTTTTTGCAAATGTTAGTGCTCATGTACCCTACACGAAAAAATCAGGAATAGTATCGCGCAGAATCGCACACAGTTTTGAAAATGATATTCCGGTATATGCATAACTTTACCTGAAGGACGAAACCAATAGAATATACGCTTTAAAGGATGGTTAGTACATGAAACTAGCGGAAAGCAATAGAACATGAAGGGAATTTAACGTTCGTCACGTTGATTTGTTAGCAATTATAGCTTGTGATAGTACAAACCAGTATATGAGCAAATTAAGGACTACTGACAAAAAATTTATGTAGTGATTTTATGGGTACATAATGATATCAAAAAATGACTACTATCATGAAACACACGCAAATTCTTCAATAAAAGTTCAGTGTAACAGCAAGAAGAGATGCATGCATTCACCAAGCGAACGTTTGAATAAACACAACTGAATCACACCGATCAAATTGTAAAAATCAATAAAGTGATGACATCAGAAATGTTTTACGAACACAGCAACTCTCGAAAAAAAGAAAAGACCTGCTGTAATTGCCTGCGATTACAAACGAACGATGAACGCAGACAGTTGTGGATTTTGAGAAGGTGATATGACTGGATGAAGATGGGAAGGATGAAGCAGAGGGCCAGAACAGCTGAAGGAAATCCTCGGTGGGTGGCTACAGAAGATAAAATAGCTGGAAAGATAAACTTGGTCAACTTTTAGATCCCTTATGATTGATAAAATCAGTTCAGAATCCATATGGTGCCTCATAAGCATTGTCTACTTAGTACTCTTTCGAGGAATTCATATGGTTGAAACAGTAAAGAACAAGAAGTCAGTCAATTCGGAATGATATCCCTCACGGATATAGAAGTTTGAAGCAACGCTACAGGAAATGCTGAGAAGTTCATGATACTGGATTAAGATTCCGAAATCTGAGTTGCTGAGCAAAATCAGCAATATCCATTGGGAGTGGATCTATTGTAAAAATAAGCTACTTCAACATCCAAAGCCAACAAACATCCCATTTCAATTCGTGACTAACGGAATGTTTCAATTCTTCATCACTTGAGAATTATTCTTCATGCACATGCAGAAGGGATTATTTGCAAAGCACTCNCCATTGGAAGTGGATCTACTGGAAAAGAAAGCTACTTCAAAATCTAAATCCAACAGACATCCCATTTCAATTCGTCACTAACGGAATGTTTCAATTCTTCATCACTTGAGAATTATTCTTCATGCACATGCAGAAGGGATTATTTGCAAAGCACTCAGTGTGTAATCTCAAAAAGATTACAACACATTCAACTCTCATACCAAAATATATGAAGAAATCAGTGCATCTTGAAAGAACATCAACTTTGAATGTCTTAAACTTTGTTTGAACAATTTTTTCTTGTGGATTTTTTCACATTTTCCGTTTCATTCCCTTCCACCTACAAGTTCTCAAACAATTACTTGCCATATCGCTATTATCGTCTTCATTCTTCTCTCGTGTCAAACTATCATATTGAAGCATTCGAACAGAAGCCGTTTCAAAACCCATTGCGAAGGAATGTGCATTCAATGGCAAATAATCAATATAAGCTATTTCGCTTACATAAGTTAAAGTGAACAGCTTCTTCTATTACCATTATCTACACAGTTGAATGTACACAAATACATGAATATGACGTTAGCACAATTCTAATCTATCACAACTATAAGCTGGATTATAGTAACTCATCATAATAGTCATTGAGAGCAAATTAAAATACTCAATAGCCGTAGTAAAGGATTCAAATGAGGGTAATTATCATTGGAAATTCTCAATAAATTAAATCACCCTCATTATTCATGAGGCACTAGGAATGTTTCAATTGAAAAAACTCAAATAGCCATCCGGAAAATTTGAATTCGACCAATCTAATGATTCAGAATGATATGAAATTTAAGGGCGGAATCACCCTAATAATCCTATATGTGCCCAACAACCTCATTATTTTGAAGGAGAACTGAAGTTCCTAATCACCTTTTGTGCAGAAATTACTTCAAAAAAAAAATGCTTGAGCACTTCGTTGAGAACACAAACCAGAACAAACTAAATGATTCGTTGCATTCAGAAAGCATCACTCAGGCAATAAACTCTAGACGTTCCTTTACCATCTTACCGATCACATTGTTACCGATATGATTCACATAATTTCTCGTAACATTGCTAATGCAAAAACTTTTTAGCAAAAATGATTCAGGATAGAACATTTCAACAATAAATGTGCTTACATTCAACGAAA